GTATTGACTTTTGTTATTGTCAACCTTGTCTATTTCAGAGCAGAGGTGCTACACAGGAAGTGAATCAGTAACTGTGAACTTGTGTTGCCCATATTGGTACCAAACGATCACTAGCTTGTTTTCCTCACTCATACTAAAGCCCTATATATTTGGATGGGACTAGTGTTGTCAAAAATATTGATATTTAGGCCTAGATACTGAAATATCTGAAACGGTTCCAATTCTACTTTTCTGTAGTATTGATACACCGATCATTCTCTCTGACGACGAAGTGACACACACACCGCCTCCTCTCATTCGCTCTGGTTGAATAGTGCTTGTATTGCGCATGATTTTAGTCATTGCCGAAGGTTTCATGCTCTCACCAAAAGCACGTGCAACACCGATCTATATAAGTGTCGCGCACATAAAGCCGCCTCTCAAACAGCTCGCAAGAGCCAAATTTACTTATTTTACATGGCTTATTGCGCTTAAATGGTCTAATACATACAAAATTATGTCCGAATGCCCATCTTGCCGAGTATTCAGGTAAACATAGTCAGTTTAGGAACGTAGATAGTTGAGAGAAAACGCATGCTGTGTAATAGTATATTGGATCCGTGCATACGCTCTTAAAGTGACAGCAGCCTCATAAACCTGCTGCCGTCTGTCATGATAATCAAAGAACAAAAAGACAAAGAGAAAATGACTGAATGACTTTAATTGTAAGCATTAATCGGCATTTAATTTTTACAATGAAAACTATTATGTTGTTATGTTATTTTACATTTGATTACTTTAATTTCTGTAGTATTTCTGACCTGAATACTACTGATAGACCCCACCTGGAAAAACTTAAAGCTATGTTTATTTCATTTCTCTCTTAATTTTCTGTATTTTTTTTTTTTATTCGTGTTATTGTATGCGATTTGTTCTTATTTTATTACTGGCTGTTTACTTGTCTTGTTTGTAAATTATTAAACGATTCAAATAAAGCCGTGCTGTTTGTAAGCTATAAGAACAAAATGACCCAAATTATCAAAAAATGATGAGATGATAAATGATCTGTATGGCGATATGGCAGTTTTCCGTGTGGAATCGAAAATGTTAACAAATATTGATATTTTTTAAGGTATGGTATCAAAGCTAAAAATTACAGTATCATGACAACACCAGATGTTTTCTAAACGATGTTTCAGTTACAATTCTTATCACTCAACGTCTGTGTCGAAGATCTTCCTAGGTAGGAGTGTGTGTTTTCTAGACGTGAACTACTCATTGATTAAAACTAATTTTTTATTAAAAACCAATTTAATGCCATTCAGAGTTTATCAAAGTGGCTGTTTATAATAAACGCATATAAGTGAGCAGAGACATCTAGACAAGTATCTTACCTGACACTGATATTAATATGAGCAGTCTTCACAGTTTCCACAATTTGGCTATATTTATTAGTTTTTAATTATGAATTTCGTCGGATGACATCCATATTGAAATGAACTGAGAGCATGAATGCTTGTTGCGCAAACAGAAAATTGGCATTCGGAGTGGACTGGATTTTTCAGAGGACCGTTGAGTTGAGTTGCCCGAAAAATAGTAGTTAATTTGCCCTGGAAAAATTGACATGGCAGATTCAAACAGGATTAAAATAACAAAGTTAGCCCGTGAAACACAAATTTCTCCATGAAAAACCTACCTGAATAGGGCTTTACAATAACTTTTTGGGGTTTGTAAGATTCCCAAACTATTGAACGGCAGTGTACGACTCTGAGACACTTCGTTTCCCATTCTGTCCTTTCACTTTCCTCCTGGGAAGCTCTGGTTCGGTCAGATACTGATGAAAGACATCTGCTTTAACAAAAGAATGATCTGCCTCGTAATGAAGCGCTGATCTGCTGAGATAATGTCCTGTGGTCAGCAGATCCTGAACCTGCCGGATCAACTTATGACCTACAGGCCCGAGGCCAGAGAAGTGCGCTGCTGAAAAGTAGTGAGCCATTGTTCGCAAAAAACCAAATCAAATCAGATTAGCGATAACGCAGTTTGCCCACTTATGATGCTGCGAACCCTGAGAGCGTTCCTTTCACTTGCCTACATTTCATTTAGCCTAATAGTCTTTTCCTAAACCTGTAATTTTCTCACATTTTCCAGGGTGATAATTAACAATCAATTTACGTGAACCTGGTGTAAGGCCACAGGAGGGATACTTATTTCAGTATACGTGTAGATTGAAAACAATATTGGAAGTCACTGGGGCCCGTCAGCTGTTTGATTACCCATATTCTTCAAAATATCTTCTTTTGAGTTCAGCAAAAGACTGAGAATTATGTTTGGAACAACTTGAGGGTGAGTAAATGATGAAAGAATTGTCATTTGTGGGTGAACTATCCCTTTAAGAGGTATATTAAAAGAACCCATTTAGATAATCCATGTCATGACAAACATGCAAGGAAGGCAACATGCAAATGCAGGGCATACAGAAAGACACTGCATCAGTTAGACAAATACAATATATTGTGGTCTCAGAGATTTTACTATGCGATGCCTAACTCTACATAGGAAAATGCACAGTGACCACACGCAACTTTGAAATGCAAATAAACTGCCATACATAGATTTCCTCGCAGAACCGCTCATGTAAAAAAGGGAAAGCAAAATCAGAGTGGTTAAAGATGCCACATGTGCACTAGTTTGCACAACCTGCACTGGCAACAACTGGAAAGTCACGTGACTGGAAAACGGTTGCTCTATGGCGGTTGTAACCAAGTTTAGGACCAGACATGCCAACACAAACTGGTTTTAAGAGTCATCAATCACTTCAACTATTAGTAATTGCAATCAAACCTGAATACTAGTTGCCAACAAATAAAATAATGTGTATGAGTGACTCACACACACGACAAAAGAACACATTCACTTCCACATATTTGAGAAATCCAAGGGGGTACAAATAAATGATTTCTTTATCAAAACGATGGGTTTTGATTTCTGAGTGAACTATACATGATTGTTGGGTGTGTTGGTAATCTGTAAATGACTGAGCCATTTAAATGCCTCCCATGTCACGTGTGTATGTGTTTCCCAAATGAAACATAAGAGCTGTTGGTTTTGAGTGATGTGTTTAGTGTAGAGAACTAGGCCTGCTGCGATAGTCGGTGTTACAAGGTCTTCAGCCGCACACCGATTTACATCGCTTTTTTTGTACAAAGACACATAAATAGAGATGAAAGACAAAATATTAAATGTCACAGATGTATATTTACGGAGTAGTCCAACTATTTTGTAGAGGGGGGTCACAATGACTATTTTCACCTGAGATCTGGAGCCAAATTGGAGGGGTCTAAAAATTGAAAAAGGGTCAAATTCAACCATTTTAACATGGAACTGCTTTGAGATTGAAGTCTATGGGACTGAACTATATAGGGCCTTAAAAATGAAGATTTCAAAAGAAAAGTGTAGCCTTTTAAGAATGAAAATCTAGAGGGATATTAATATCTCTTGAATACTTTTAGTTACAGCCATGACAACTTTAGAAAAATAATATGTATGGCACTCAGACAGGTATGTTCTATGCAATTGAGCTGATGAAAAAATATGAGATAAACGTGAGGTAAAAAAAAAAACAAGAAAACAAGTGCTTTTTGCCCTTTCTGAACTATCACTGTTGGCATATAATACAACAAAGATTGCTTAAGTCAACAGATTTTCCTATAATTGTCCAAAATAAATTTTTAAACCCCTGTAATTTGGGTCCAAATCTCACGTGAAAATTGTCATTTTGACCCCCCTCTACAAAAGAAGAGCGGATTACAAGTACATCTGAGAGACATTTAATATTTTGTCTTTCATCACAATTTATGTTTGTCTTTCTAACGAAAACATACCTTTGGTTGAGTAGTTGACACGGAATGACCCAATAATATTAATACAGAACATGCTCTGAACATTAAAAAATAAACCAACAACACAAACTGCTAAAAGTGAAGCAGAAATAAGTTCAGCAGCACAGATAAAACCAACAAGAATCAAAAAACTCCACAGTATAATCTATTCATACCTTCATAGTAGATACGGACTGTAGAAAAACAGTATGATATTGTGTGTTTACAGTCATTTTTGCGTTTTCCAATACTGTAAACTCACTATAAAACCAAGCTTTTTTCCTTCTTCTTTTTTACAGTACAATTGTAAAACCTTGACTAAAATTGCCAGTAAAGTACTGTAGTCTTTTACAAGAAATGTCTGAAAGTGCAGTAGATACATGAAAAGTCTTACTGTGAAAAATACTGTGAAAGAAATGCAATTATTAACCTGGTAAAAATCCTATACTAAAAAAATTGAAGTGTCGTGATCAAACTCAAGACACTTTTAGAATCTGTTGTTTATATATATATATATATATATATATATATATATATATATATATATATATATATATATATATATATAAAAGTGTCTTGATTTGGTGCCCTGGATATTGCCATGTTGTCATTTATTTTTCATAATTTTTAAACAGTATAGAACTGTTTTGCATATTCATGAACACGAATGTGACAGATTTTTTTGTTATAATGATGTACTGAGCAAAGTATTACATGATTGAGAGTAATCGATATGACATATATAAGTAGAGATAAGTGATATCTCCATATAGACTGAGTTTGTAACTCCTAAATTGTAAATGTTAGACAGAAGCTGCTCTGATTGAAGTCAGTGAGACTTCCTTCACACTCAGTCGGAGTGAAGATCTGCTGACGAAACACTTACTCTAACTCACTTATGAATTTTCAATTATAGATACAAATGATTAGAGTTTACTAGTAACACATGCGTTTCTACCGAATTAAAAAGGCTGGCTAGCACATCATCTAATGTAGCTAACAGTGATGACTGTTCACGCTCCTGTAGGATGCTACACACATTTCAAGCATTTTAAAACGAACAATGGACGAACATGGTCCATTAACTGTTATTAAAACATATTTCATTGAAGAACAGGCTACAATAAGCCGCTAACTCACCAATGCACTGGCCAACGGGAGTGCTGTACGGATTCCCTAACAAGAACTCCATCTTGATGACAACAACAATCCTCCGGTGGTGAGAGGCTGACGGACAGCGCGCCTAAGCCCCGCCCAGAGAGCTGTCTGATTGGTTTAAACAAGCGGAACTTTTCATTTATTGATCGAGGAAGCTGTCAATCATGGGCAAAGTCTTAACACGGCAGAGTTCCTTTACAAACTACTCTTAATGTGCAAAAACGTATGGAAACTACGTTATAAAAACATTAATTTATGGACATTATGGAAATTTAGTTTAGCAATAGCGGAGGCATTTTAGTACACGTGGAATATTTCGCTCTTTCTTCTAAATTGCCAAAAATGTCTTTTTAATTTTTTTCCATTTCATGAAGAATCCTAAAAAATTAAATACTCAAAAAATATCATTAACGTTATATGCCTGAGTATTATTACTAAAATTTATTTTAATTTCTAAAAGCTACGGAAAACTCCGGAAGTTGATGGCGGTATAGTCTGCGGTTGCTGAGCAACAGTGTTGGCGTCCAGCAGACGTGTACTTCAGTGATTATATTTCCAGGCAGGTCTGTTGTCAAATGAACGAGCTTTTAGTAATAGCATTTGAAATAGGTGACTGATACAGTGTTTTGACAGATTTTATGGGTGACAGGTCTGCAAAATAAGATTTAAGCAATTGTTTTCTATGCACTGACTAGGTGCTGCGGTATTGCACTGCTAATCACCGTTACTGCAGGTAATAAACGGGTCCAGTCGTCAGAAGCGCTGGAAAATGAGCTGGAAACAGGATGAACCCAACGTAATGGATGAGGAGATGCTACAACAAGCAATTGTTGAACAGGGACCTCAAGGGCAAGCTGGAAAAATAGCCAAGAAAGAGGGCATCCAGTACGAGGAGGTGCTTCAGCTGCGGTTGGACTTCAGGAGTAAGTAATTCAATTTATAATGTAAAATTAAACATTTTTTTTATTCAGGGTGAATCTCATGAAAACTTTCCTGGGTCATATTTCACCCCAAAATCAAGAGAAAAATAAGAATATATTTTGAATTATTGAAAAAGTGAAACCCACTTTATTAATTTATTTAGACATTATTTTCATGACAAGTAAAATACATCCCCCCTCTCACACAGATAACGTTTTTTAATCAGTGTTAAAGGGATAGTTCACGCAATAATGAAAATTCTGTCATTATTTACTCACCCTCATGTCGTTCCAAACCTGTAAGAAACAGAAACGAAGATCTTTTTGATGAAATCTGAGCGATTTCTGTCCCTCCATTGACATCCTACGCAACTAGGCCTAGCACTTTGACACTTTAAAAAGTTCATAAAGAGATTGTACAACTAATCCATATGAATTGAGCGGTTTAGTCCAAATTTTCTGATGAGACACGATCCGCATTAAATGATGCACAGATTTAATTTAGGCTTTTATTCACATAAACATTTATTAACTCGCACATCAGTTGTGGTAAACTGAAGCTCAAGCATGTTCGTTTGATGTGTGAAAACAACTGCGGTTTATTCTTGTGTTACGCAGCACGTTTGAGCTTCAGCAAGAACCAATGAGGTTCATTCTCGTGTTACGCAGCACGTTTGAGCTTCAGTTCACTGATCAATGTTTATAATATGTGAAAAAAGCCTAAATTCCTTCTGTTCATCATATAAAGCGATTGAGTCTCTTCAGAAAATTTGGACAAAACCGTTCAATTCATATGGATTACTTTTACGATCCCTTTATGAACTTTTTGAAGCATTAAAGTGTCAGTTGCGTAGCTGTCAATGGGGGGACAGAAAGTTCAACTTCATTTGAACAGTGATTGAAGGGTACAGAAGTTCAACTTCATTTGTGTTTCAAACATGAACGGTTTGGAACGACATGAAGGTGAGTAATTAATGACAGGATTTTCATTTTATTTTATTAATTTTTGATGATTGGTATAATTTCAATAACAGTTCATTGTACAAAAAAAGCATATATTTATTTATTTTTTGAAAAATATAATTAATATAAAATTGATGTTTTTTGTAGACATCCTAAAGATTTACCACCTGTGGCATTTCACCTCTCTAACAAAACTTCAGCTGGATAATAATGTTATTGAGAGGATTGAAGGGTTAGAAAACCTCACTAATCTGATCTGGCTGGGTGAGTTCAGACTGTCCGACTGATATCAAAAACATATCCCGAGTGTCTCCAAATACTAAGCCAGAATTCTTATATTCCTCAGATCTGTCATTCAATAATATTGACGTGATTGAAGGACTGGACTCTCTTGTGAAACTTCAGGACTTGAGTTTGTTCAACAACCGCATTTCTGTCATTGAAAAACTGGATACGCTGCAGAACCTGCACATCCTCTCTATTGGAAACAATGCCATTGCTCTACTGGATAATGTAAGCCAACTATATTTTAGATGATACATTTTTAAAACAAATGTGGAATCCCAGAAGGATGAAAATGAAATCATATCCAACCCTGCAGGTGCTGTACCTCAGAAAGTTTAAGAATTTACGCTCTCTCAACCTTGCGGGAAATGCCATCTGTGATGAAGAGAACTTTAAGATATTTGTGACGGCATATCTTCCAGACTTGGTCTATCTGGACTACAGACTGCTGGATGAACAAACGGTTAGTGAGACATTAATAAGTAACTTCTCATATATCCACAGCTGCAGTTGCTTAGCTTCGTTTTTCAGCTGACCACTTGTGAAAAAGAAGTGCACAAGCATAGTACCTATTATGAAAATATTATACTTTAGAAGAAAACACTAAAGTGCAAACTGAATGTAATGTTTTCTGACACTTAATTGCAATTAAATGTAAATTTTTTATAGTTTAAAATTTCAATCTATAATAAATTAAATTAGCTGAACTTTTCTGACTATTGCCCAATTTCACAGACAAGGTTTAAGCTAATCCTAGACTAAAATGCATGTTTGAGCTGTTTTAACTGAAAGCAACTTGCACTGATATATCTTAAAATAAGTCGTGCCATTGTTTTGTCTCAAGATTCACACCAGTAATGTTTTTTTTTATATATATATATATATATAAAGAACGTTTATAAAACCTACTTAAATGCCCTAATGGAACTAAGGCCTAATCCTGGCTTAATCTAAACCCTGTCTGTGAAACCAGGCATAGATCTGTGCAATTTCATAATTACTTCTATTTTCTTTTAAACATGGTTAAGGATTACCGCCGAATAAACTGACAAGCATTAACAGCGAGAACCTTTAAGTGATCAGTTCTTAAAATAACCATTATTTTTATTATTTATTTATTTTAAAACCTAAAAAAACCTTTTTCCACTATAGCGAACCTTTTGTGGAATGGAAAGGTTTCTGTGGATGTTAAAGATTTTTCATGGAACCATCGATGCCAATAAAGAACCTTTATTTTGAAGAGTGTAAACTAAAATACACTTTAATGTCATTTCTATTGAAACACGCATTTAAATATATTTGTAATTAATTACACACTTGTAATGATGAAGTTGCAATTTAGTACATTTAAAATATATGAACTTTAAAATGTCACATTGAATAACACACTACAGTTTAAATTATAATCGAGTACTTTACATGAGCTTTAAAATGTTAGTCAACACATCAAAATAAGTGCACTTATTTAAAGCATGACCAATAAAATGCTTTAAAATGTACTTTGAAGTAAAGGTTTCATTTTAAAATTATTGCAAAGTGCACTTTTTAAAAGTTTACTTAAGAAACATTCACGAAAGTAAACTCTCATTGAGTGCATTCATGTTTTATCTGCAAGTACGGTTTTTGGAAAATAATGAGATTCGAAATTACACAAGTGCACATTCAATACATTTAAACACGCATCTTTTTCATAAGTGAGGGATAGCTAACATTTGTCCTAATGTTCTGTTCATAACTCATATTTTTTGCGCCTACATATAAAGCGTGAAACTGCCTTTGCGAAGTATCAGTATGCTGTAGAAGAAATGCAACACAATGAGCTCCAGGAGCAGGAGGCAATTGAGGCTCAGAAGATCAGCAACGAGGAGCTTCAACTACACAAGGTGACCAACATCACCACGCCATCCATCTCATTCAAGCACAAGAACACTGATCGAGGTTTAATAAGTCAGGTTTACACTACAGCGTTTGAAACGCAGCACTGTTTTAAAATCTTCTTTCGTCACTGGACATACAAACTTATTATATACTCTTGACAGTGGTGAATAAATATTGCGTCCTTCTTTCACACAGGACGCATTCGTGGAGTTCTTAAATGGAGCTCAACTTTTCGACAGCATGTTTGCTGAGGATCCGGATGCAGAGAAACTGGCTCTCCTCCCCGGAATGGAAGCATTGCTGGAGACATATCCTTGTTATGAATGGCAAAATATACAAATCTGCAAAGTTACAAGGCACAAAGTCATTCCAAAGGGAGTTATTCTTAAGTTAGTCTTGAGTTTTCTCCCGGGAACGAACACGTCACAATATTCCTCATTTAAATATTTCCCGCCCAAGACATACGCAACATAAAGGGGCGGGGCCTAGTTGAGTTAGTTAGTAGTGTGTTAAAACCAACACATTCTCATCCTTTGGCGTCATATAGGTGACGCCATATGACATTTCGTCGAAATCTTACGCACATGGCATCCTTTAGCGTCAATATAACATGCACTGTTATGGGTAGGTTTAGGGGTTGGGTTACGGTTATGACGCCTTGGGATCTGCGTCTCATATTGACGCTAAAGGATGCCATGTGCATAAGATTTCGACGAAATGTCCGAAGCGTCACATGAATGACGCCTTGGGATGAGAACGGGCTGGTTAAAACTCACTGATTCAGCCAACCAATCAGAGCACATTGTGCTTTTCAGAAGTTAGGAGTTCCTTGAGACAGGAACTAAACAGGGGTGCATTTCCCAAAAGCATTATTAGCAGTTTTGGGTAAGTTACTCTGAAAAAAGTAATGAATTATATCCTAATTACATCTTCAACAGTGTAATTAGATTACTGTAGGCCTACTTATTACTGTCTCTCTAAAAAGTATTGGATTACTTATTACTAATTACTTTATAAATCCCATTAACTTTTAACCAGTTGAACAATACAAGGATAGACAAGAAACTTTACTTTTAATTATTTCAAATAAACATTATAGAATTGCATAAAGTATTCTTGAACCGACAAAGTGTGTAAAGAGAGAGGGTTACATTAAAAAAAAAACATACATTTTAGCATAACATTTTGATGTTAAATCCACTATTGTTTTACAAAGAAATTAAGAGTAATCCCTTACTTTTTCCAAGGGAAAAGTAATTAAATTACAGTTATCAATTAATCACACCCAACTATGGTTGCAAGTTCCGTCGTTATCAGCATATTTCAATGAGTCTGTGTTTCCCAAAACCATAGTTCCAACAAACATTCGCTAACAGCATCGCAAACTTGTGGTAAGAAGCAGAGTTTTTTGTTAAAATATCATGTGGACTTATCCTTATCTGCAGCAAAATAAGCAAACTGACATTCAATACAATCTCCATCTTTTATTTCGGATAAACACAAATGTAATTTACGTATTTTAGTTTGTCAAAGAGTAGTTTTTGAAGAGTGAGAAGGAGCCTATGATTGAATCTGGAAATAAAGCAAAATAATTGAGATAAATCAGTCCTCAGATGCCATGTCCGTAATTTATAGAACAAATCTACCATTGATACGGTCTCAAACGGATTCATTAAAAGTAGTTATTACTTCACCATGTGTGTGACATCATTAAAAACGTGATTGAACGACATATTCGCGACAATACAGTACAGTCGTGACGAGCTAGGGGATTTCTTCAGCAATGCATCGTATCTGGTAGTTAAACAGCGAGTTATGTCGTTGTTTCGGGAAACACATCCCAGTGTGTTGCTGACAGAATGGGAAGAGAGGTGCTGAAACAATGTCAAATATGTGTTTTTTGAACATTCAAGCATGAAAACCTATTCTAGTAGAGCTCAAAAGCAACATCAAGACTGTAAAATGGCCTCTTTAAGAGTGCAGATGAGGGAACGGCTGTTAAAAAGGACTCAAAATAATCCATTTACCTTGACAATCCATTTACGTTTAAGAGCAAAATGGAAGCTCTATGTGTGCAGATATTTGATGCGGGTTTGGCTCAGCTTGCTAGGAGAACGGCTGAGGTGGAATCCTTTTTTACCTGTTCCCACGAGGCAGTGGCTGACAATCAGCGCAGGGCCGCACAAACAGCAGCTGACTTTGAAAACTCCAGGAGGCAGGTTGGTTTCTTCAAGGAAAACCAGACAACCTGTTTCTCACCAGTTGAACACATCAAAATGCCCACTAATTAATTTCTGTTCTATTGCAGAAGACTGTGGAAATCAAACAGATCGCAGACACCGAGCTTCTCAAAGCTCACATCACTTCCTGCCACGAACAGGCTGACCAGTTCTCTGAAACCCTCATGAGTCTTGAACTGCAGCTGGTGGACCAACTGGAGGTCAGAATAAAAAGACCTATATTATTAGTGTAATATTAATTACGGAGCATATCACCTAGTTTCACAAATATGCTTCTTCTTTTTTTTAAAGGACATCTTCAAAGACTTTGAGAGGAACATCTCAGACATGGTTGGAGGGTTCATTGAATATGTGCAAGGGATATATCCTTTATCCAACCAAGCAAAACAAAAATACTTTTATTTTAAGGGTAAGGCTTCTTTAACTCTGACACACATTCGCACTGTGCCGAGACCTGGAGAACCAGCACCATGAACAACAGCTTGAGATCGCCTTGGCAACACTGGAGAAGGTGGTCAAAAGCGAGCTAGAGGAGGAAATACCGGATGATGTGGCAATGGTCAGTGGAAAACTGTCTTCATGATCACTTAATTTGTGTATATAGTCATGCATAATTAAGAAGTCAAAAGCCATCGTAACTACATGCCAGACACTTATTTTAGTACTGACTGATCCTTCGTTCTATGCTGCCCTGTAGCTCTTGGTGGATAAAGACACAGTGACCAATGCAGTCAGTGCTTCTCATGACACCCACCTGCAGAAGATTGATAACAGGGAGGATGAGCTACTGACACGGATCAACAGCTGGATGAGCGGTCTGCTGAAATCGGTACATGATTGTGAACACACTTCCTTAACAATATTATTATTTTATATTATATTATATTATATTATATTATGTTATATATCACGTTGTAGCCTACCATGCAGCTGTCCAGGATCAGAACGACCTTTTATTAAATAAAATGTAAATCTTATTTTGTTTGTGTTAATAGATACACAATGATGAGGTGAAGAGGAATCGCAAGCGCATCTCAGAGATCCAAAACTACATTAGTTTTGTAAAGGACGAGCTGGAGGACATGGCATCATCTGAGGACAATTAAAATGTTTCTCTTGTCAGATCCAGAATATATATAAAGCTATGTATGTATATATAATAAACAATTTTTGCTCATTTTGTTGTTACCGGTTGATGTAGTTGATGAAGTATGCAGCTGTATCATCTTTGTTTTGTTTATTACATTTTGAGATCGTCAGGTTTACAAGAATGTTGTAGGGTTTGTTTTTGTACATTATGCAATGCTTCCATCTACAGGCGAGTAAAGGTGCTGCAGAAATGCCATTTGTTGGCAGTGAGAGAGAGAGAGAGAGAGAGAGAGAGAGAGAGAGAGAGAGAGAGAGAGAGAGAGAGAGAGAGAGAGAGAGAGAGAGAGAGAGAGAGAGAGAGAGAGAGAGAGAGAGTGAGAGAGACAGAGAGAGAGCTGTACATTACATAAAAGGGCATTTCTCAAATGGGGTGTGGGCAGTTATATATAATTTAGAAATAAAGTTATATAAAATATTATATATATATATATATAAATGAATTTACAAGTCATTACAAGTTATCATAGCTAACACAATCCTTTCTGCCAAATATGTGTTTTATGTATAATTTCAAAAGTTAAATGTGTTTTAAATTGAGTGTGTGTATATATATATATATAGGCCACGTTAAACAGGTTTTATTGGCAAATTCATTGTTTAGAAACAGCTGTCACAACATTAGCGATTCTCTACATTTCTACAGTACCGCTTTCTTGCAATAGAACGGCAAATCCCATCATGCCTTTTCCAGAGTAGCCAATGAACACCCAGCGTCATTGTTCCCTGATGTTCGTCATCCAATCAGAGAACAGCATGCTGGATCACATGACTCGCTGTCGAGCGCCTTCATTCTGCTCTGAGGGACTCATCCGCGCGTCCTGCGGGAGAAACTCCGAAACTCACGCACTGCGCTGTCAGTGTCGCGTGTTCTTCTCTTCCCGGGTCTCGGATAAGCGACGCTCAGCTGTTTGAGTTCGGGGACTTCCCCGCAGAAGCGATCAAACATGCCGGTCCGTACCGACTGCTGTCAGGGCTCGTCGTTGGCCTGCATGGCCTCGGCCTCTCTCGTTCCGCCCCCGCCGATCAATACCCATCAGCCCGGCGTCAACACCTCTCTGCTCTACAGCGGCTCCCAGTTCCGCGGCCACCAGAAAAGCAAAGGAAACTCCTATGATGTCGAGGTGGTTCTGCAGGTAAACACTTTGCTCTCTGTGGATATGCTCAGTAAGAAGTGAGCTGCCTACCTAGGCATTCAAATGACTGCTGTCTGGGTAACGTTAGGCAGCTCACTAGGTTGTGGAACTATGAAGCCCAAAAATGCTGTTTGTTTGTTTGTTTATAGGCAGCCAGGTTTTGAGTCCAAAAATGCTGTCTAGATAGGGTGCTCACTCACTTGGTTGTGAAACTTTGAAACCCAAACATACTGTTTGTTTGTAGGTATGAACCTACTATGTAGCTTTCGAGTCCAAAAATGCTGTCTAGGTTGGGCGCTTACTACGCTGTGAGAATATGAAGCTCAAACATAATATGCTGGCTACCAGTTTGTCAGCTATTTTGGACACAAAAATCTACATAGTAGGCTCCCTACATGCGGTCTAGGTAGGCAGCTCACTATATAGTGAGAGTATGAAACACATATGCTGTTTGTTTGTATGTACTATGTAGCCAGCCTACTATGTCCAAAAAGGCTGTCTAGGTAGTTTACTTGTGTGATTACAGTGATCATTGTGCAATGTGTCTAATATTGCATGTCAGTGAATCTGGAGATATAATCAGTATGGATCCATTACCCATTTTTAAGTAGGGCATCCAGAGAGAATTGTGTCTTCATGTTTGAGTCCAGATTATTATTTTGAGAGATTTTTTTTGTTGAATGTTATTAACTGACCTGTTAGCAGATCTGTTCTTGTGGTCTGGAGTTGTGCCAAGTTCATCATTATAGTGATTTATTTTATTAAAACCCTTTGCTTCTGACCCACAGCATGTGACCATGGAGGACTCGTACCTGTGTGGATACCTCAAGATCAAAGGTCTGACGGAGGTGAGACGGGCTCGTGGTCAATGCGACCGCGTTTCTACTTCTGTATTCATACTGTCAGTCAGTGTGACCTGCAATATGTTGCTTTAGTCGGCTGTTGATCTTGTAAGAGTTTATGGCAGCTTGACATAAACATAAGCACTCTTGCCGTTTGTCTGAATGGAGATTCTGCTTTTGTTGTCTTGTTTTCTGGTTGCAAAACTGGAGCACAATAGATTTGGACTCTGACACCGACTGACTGACACACACTGAAATATTTAATCTTATGATTTTATCAAGATACAGAAGCTTAAGTCCACTTTAAGAAGCATAATGCACTTAATTTGGCAACTGATTTATTGTTCTGCTCTGCATCTTAGTTGCTGTGTGTCAACGGAAATATGAAGCAGATATGACACTGTCCGGTATCTTGATATTTGTGTAATTTTCCTGAAATTTCTTAAAAGCGTGATTAAAAAACATATATATTGTTTCCAGTCAATCTTCAAACAAGTAGATTCAAAATGTTAATGCAAGAACAAGAATGAAATATGCACCAATATAACAGTACAGGATAATAAACATAATTATACTGTTCAGAAGTTTGGGGTCAGTAATGTTTTTTTAAAAGAAGTATCTTATGTTCACCAAGGCTGCATTTATTTGATTAGAAATACAGTAAAATAGTAATATTGCAAAATATTATTACAATTTAAAAGAACTGTTTTCTGTATTAATTAGGGCTGTCAAATGATTAATCGCGATTAATCACATCCAAAATAAAAGTTTTTTTTACATAATATATGTGGGTGCACTGTGTATAATTATTTTGTATATATATAAATACACACACATGCATGTATATTTAAGAAAAAAATATTATTTATATATAAAATATTTATATATAATATAAATTATATATAAATCTATATACAGTATATACATGGAAATATTTCTTAAATATATACAAGCATGTGTGTGTATTTATATATAAAAATAAAATAATTATACACAGTGCACCCACATATATTATGTAAAAAAAACTTTTATTTTGGATGTGATTAATCATTTGACAGCCCTAGTATTAATATATTGTAAAATGTAATTTGATCAAATCTGAGTTTTCAGCGTCATTACTCCAGTCTTCAGAGTCACATGATCCTTCAGAAATCATTCTGATATGATGATGTGATGCTCAAGAAACATTTCTGATTATTATCCATGTTGAAAACAGTTGCGCAATATTTTTGTGGAAACCGTGAAACATTTTTTTTCAGGATTCTTTGACGAATATAAAGTTCAAAAGAACAGCAGAAATATTAAAAATAGAAATATTTTGTAACACTATAAATGCCTTTACTGTCACTTTTGAATATTTTAATGCACCCTTGGTGAATAAAACTATAATTTTATTTTAATCTTTCTGAAGGGCTATGTATATTTTTATTAAAACATTCTAATATATGACAAATAAATACTACATGCTTCAGTAAACATGGTTGGGTTACTAGTATGCGAGTGAATAATTGAATCAGAGTTTGAATCAATTATTTTAAATGGACACTTTGAACTGATTCATGGAAATGAATTGGACTTGCCAACTTTAATGACATAAGATAAATTATAGACGCTATTAAAAGAACATCACGTGACAAGGAAGTATCACAGACGACACACTCTTTAGAAAACGTATTGGCCAAATAAAAAGTGCATTGACATCATTGTGATGTTCACGATTTATTTTATATTGCCAGAAATATGTGTGAGACTATATCAGGAGTATATATTGAGTCAGACCACGTTATAAATCCCTGAAGGGGAAGTGTCCCTCATCCTACTCTATTGCTCTCTGTAGGAATACCCCACTCTCACTACATTCTTTGCCGGGGAGATCATAAGCAAGAAACGGCCTTTTTTAACCAGGAAATGGGATGCGGATGAGGATGTCGACCGAAAACACTGGGTAATAAATATAGATTCATTGTGTGCATACTGCATAATAATTATGAATCATTATGCATCATGACTCTAAACATGTTTTTCTTTTTTCTCAGGGGAAGTTTCAAGCATTTTATCAGTACGCAAAAAGCTTTAATTCAGATGATTTCGACTATGAAGAACTAAAGAACAGTGATTACGTCTTCATGCGGTGGAAGGTACGGTGTGCATTATGACTGAAAACATTCACACTACCGTTCAAAATGTCAGGGTCAGTAAGACTTTGTTTTAGTTTTAAAAGAAATTAATACTTTTCAGTATTATATTATACTATTCAGTTTCATATAAATGCTGTTCTTTTGAACTTTTTATTCATTAAAGAATCCTGAAAAGTATCACAGTTTTACACAAAAATATAAAGCAGCACAACTGTGTTTAACATTGATAATAATAATCAGAAATGTTTAATCACAACATCATATTAGAGTGATTTCTGAAGGATCATGTGACGCTGTAGACTGGAGAAATGATGCTGAAAATTCAGCTTTGATCACAGGAATAAATTACATTTTAACATAATTATACTAACCTAGAAAAAGGTGATTTTAAATTGTAATAATATTTCACAATATTACTGTTTTGTACTGTAGTTTTGATCAAATAAATGCAGCCTTGGTGAGATTAAGAGACATAAATAACATTTTTACTTCTTTGTTTTTACATTTTTACTTCGACATGTTAAATGCTGTCGTTGCATTTGTTTAAAAAAAAAAAAAAAAAAAAAAAAAAAATCTTACTGACCCCAAACATTTGAATGGTAGTGTATGTATACAAATCCATAAAAGCTGCTTTGTATAAATATTAGGGATGGGCATTTTGGTCAATTTCTCATTTCGATCATTGACAGGGTCGGGCGTGTCCGTCATGAAAATGAAAATTAATGTTGACAAATAAAAATATGACATGAAAACATGAACGTTTGAATAGAAAAAAATAACTGCTAGATTATGATGCATTAATGTTATCGAAAAAGAAACGTCTAAAAGGAATAGCTGAATGCGCACATGACCGATGATCAAAGTGATTCCAGGCATGACTGTGTGTGTGTGTTTCCAAAACCCCGTTTCACTTTATTTGGCCGGTCTGGAAGGCGAGATGTCTAACGCTAACAAATCAGAACTCAGGAACCGCCGCAATAACCAAACAGAAAAAAAAGAGAAATATATAGTTCGTTTTCATGATCAATCGTCGCTGTGACGTTCGAGTACTCGTGCCCATCCCTAATAAATATACAAATCTGGTGTAAATAATCCAAAACTCCTACTGTGAAATGTTGTTTGTTTGGTTCAGGAGCAGTTCCTTGTTCCAGATCACACGATCAAAGACATCAGCGGTGCTTCCTTCGCTGGCTTCTACTACATCTGTTTCCAGAAGTCTACCGCCACCATAGAGGGTTACTACTACCACAGAAGCTCTGAATGGTATATATCAAATAAAGATGAGTGTGTGAGGGTATATACAGTAGTCAACATGAATTTTTAACAATACCCATAACTTTGAACTTTTTTGATCCACTTCAAATGTTGACTACTAGTTTAATGTAGTTTAAACGTTAATGAAATGAGTCGTTCCGCACATCGCTTATATATATATACACTCACCGGCCACTTTATTAGGTACCCCATGCTAGTAACGGGTTGGACCCCCTTTTGCCTTCAGAACTGCCTCAATTCTTCGTGGCATAGATTCAACAAGGTGCTGGAAGCATTCCTCAGGGAGTTTGGTCCATATTGACATGATGGCATCACACAGTTGCCGCAGATTTGTCGGCTGCACATCCATGATGCGAATCTCCCGTTCCACCACATCCCAAAGATGCTCTATTGGGTTGAGATCTGGTGACTGTGGGGGCCATTTTAGTACAGTGAACTCATTGTCATGTTCAAGAAACCAATTTGAAATGATTAGAGCTTTGTGACATGGTGGAAGTAGCCATCAGAGGATGGGTACATGGTGGCCATAAAGGGATGGACATGGTCAGAAACAATGCTCAGGTAGGCCGTGGCATTTAAACGATGCCCAATTGGCACTAAGGGGCCTAAAGTGTGCCAGGAAAACATCCCCCACACCATTACACCACCACCACCAGCCTGCACAGTGGTAACAAGGCATGATGGTTCCATGTTCTCATTCTGTTTACGCCAAATTCTGACTCTACCATCTGAATGTCTCAACAGAAATCGAGACTCAGACCAGGCAACATTTTTCCAGTCTTCAACTGTTCAATTTTGGTGAGCTCTTGCAAATTGTAGCCTCTTTTTCCTATTTGTAGTGGAGATGAGTGGTACCCCGTGGAGTCTTCTGCTGTTGTAGCCCATCCGCCTCAAGGTTGTGCGTGTTGTGGCTTCACAAATGCTTTGCTGCATACCTCGGTTGTAACGAGTGGTTATTTCAGTCACTGTTGCCCTTCTATCAGCTCGAACCAGTCTGGCCATTCTCCTCTGACCTCTGGCATCAACAAGGCATTTCCGCCCACAGAACTGCCGCTCACTGGATGTTTTTTCTTTTTCGGACCATTCTCTGTAAACCCTAGAGATGGTTGTGCGTGAAAATCCCAGTAGATTAGCAGTTTCTGAAATACTCAGACCAGCCCTTCTGGCACCAACAATCATGCCACGTTCAAAGTCACTCAAATCAACTTTCTTCCCCATACTGATGCTCGGTTTGAACTGCAGGAGATTGTCTTGACCATGTCTACATGCCTAAATGCACTGAGTTGCCGCCATGTGATTGGCTGCTTAGAAATTAAGTGTTAACGAGCAGTTGGACAGGTGTACCTAATAAAGTGGCCGGTGAGTGTATATATATATATATATATATATATACTCTGTGTGTGTGTGTGTGTGTGTGTGTTAAATCAATGTATATCAAGATTAAACGTACATATTCTGAATATGTCGCCTAGTCCCAAGAACCCAATTTTTCTTTGTCACATTCTCATGATCAGGTATCAGTCTCTGAACCTCACACACGTCCCTGAACACAGCGCACCCATCTATGAGTTCCGGTGACACTGAAGTCCTCGCGTCACGGCAAGAGGGTGAATCTACAGCGGACGGGGCAAGTGGACATGAGTGAGAGAGAGGAACTGTCTAATGAACACGCCAAGGACTCGGCTGTCCTCTCCCCTCAGTGAAAGAATATAAGACGGAGGTACCGATGATGGAGAACTCTTTCAGGAGACCGTACGCAGGCCGATCAAGCGAGAGGGATTCGGGGATTCGCAACAGTGTTAGCGTTTTGGTTTTTCTTTTATGTTTTTGAGTTTTTAATGCTTCTGTCCTCCGATCATCTTAGAAAACCATTTTTTTATCCGTAAGGTTTGGGGATTAAGATCACAGTTTTTCAGGATGGAAGAGCCAATTTTTTTTTTCTGTTTGTTTTTCTGCCTTGTTATTTCATAAAACAGCATGGTCAATCTAGAAATTTTTGAAATTTGTTTTAATTTATTTTTAATCGTTCTGTATGAAATGACTGTGATCAGGACAGTGTATACAGACAGTCTATTACAGACGTATGGAAGATTCCCTGTGCGATATGATGGGTACAGAGAGTTGCTATTGTCTGTGGCTTGCTCGGCCCTCAGACGGGTTTTTTATTAACGTAAGGTGTATCATCAAAAGTCACATATATAGCAGCTGGGTCTTTCGCTTCTACGTGTGATATATTTTTTATTATGAAATGAAATGGAGTTGGGTGTTATGGAAAGAGGCATATATTATCCCATGGTGGTAAAGCTATTTGTAGAGCTGCTTTGGATAAAACATTTATGTCTGATTTTGAAAAAAACAACAAAAAAATTCTGTTGGTAGTTTTATGCTCCTTGTTTTGCTATGCAACCTGAAAAATCTCAGCTTGTAAGAATCTCAAGTATATGGAGGCTTGTTTTTCCCACAGAATAAATAAAAAAAATGGGTAATTGTTTAGGTAACTAATTTTTAATAATTTTAAATAATTCCGACTTATTTCTCGCAGTTCTGTGTACGTGTCTTGCAATTTTTATTTAACACGTTGTAGTTTTGATGTTGTTTTCTCAGAATTGTAAAATAGTCTAAAAAATCTGAATTCTGATTATATCTCGCTGAATTCTTGAAAAATTCTCACTTTTTCTTTGCAATTCTAAGTTTACATCTCATGATTGTCCTTTTTCTCACTTTTGTGAGTTTATATCTCACAATTCTGATTTGTTAACTCTGAATTCTGAGGAAAAAAATCAGAATTGCAAGATTTAAACTTAGAATTCTAGTTTTAAAAATAAAAGTCAGAAATGCAAGTTTTAAACTCAGAATTCTGGTTTAAAAAAAAGTCAGAATTAAGAGATGTAAACTCCTACTCAGAAATGTAAATTCAGAATTCCAGTTTAAAAAAAAAATCTAAATTGCGAGATGTAAATTCAGAATTCCAATTTAAAAAAAAATCTAAATTGCGAGATGTAAACTCAGAATTCCAATTTAAAAAAAAAATCTAAATTGCGAGATGTAAATTCAGAATTCCAATTTTAAAAAAGCTCAAAATTGTGGGATGTAAACTCAGAATTCCAATTTTTTTAAAAATCTAAATTGCGAGATGTAAATTCAGAATTCCAATTTAAAAGAATTCGAATACAAATAAAAAAAAAACTCAATTGCGAGATGAAAACTCAGAATCCCGATTTTTAAAAAAAGTCAGATGTAAACTCAAAATTGCGAGATGTAAACTCAGAATTCCAATTTTAAAAAAAAATCTAAATTGCGAGATGTAAATTCAGAATTCCAATTTAAAAAAGGTCAAAATTGCGAGATGTAAATTTAGAATTCCAATTTTAAAAAAAACCTCAGAATTGCGAGATGTAAACTCAGAATTCCAATTTAAAAAAAATCTAAATTGCGAGATGTAAATTCAGAATTCCTATTTAAAAAAGGACAAAATTGCGAGATGTAAATTCAGAATTCCAATTTAAAAAAAAATCTAAATTGCGAGATGTAAATTCAGAATTCCTATTTAAAAAAGGTCAAAATTGCGAGATGTAAATTCAGAATTCCAATTTAAAAAAGGTCAAAATTGCGAGATGTAAATTCAGAATTCCAATTTAAAAAAAAATCTAAATTGCGAGATGTAAATTCAGAATTCCAATTTAAAAAAAAAGTCAGATGTAAACTCAAAATTGCGAGATGAAAACTCGGAATCCCGATAAAAAAAAAAAAAGTCATAGATGTAAACTCAGAATTGTCATGTATATAAACTTGGAATTGAGAAATCAAGTCAGAATTGTGTGATTTTAAAAAGTCGCAATTTTCCTTTTTACATTTTTTTTTTTTATTTAATGGCAGAAACAGGCTTCCATGCAAGTATCTTATCACTTTGTTCACTTTAATATTCACAGCTCAGCGAGTGTTGATTGATATTCGCACCAGTGTCAGGTGGCGTGTCAGAACGCCATGATATCATGATGGATAAGCAAGTGTTTATGTCGGAGGGCTCAGGAAGATTTTTAAAAGCAAACAGTCCAGATGATGGAAAAACACTGTTCTTTTAAACTACCCATCGGCTTCGAGTCGTTTTCGACGGCCGTGGTCTACATCCTTCAAGGTCTAGCAACGCACAAAATGTAACGGCTGAGGCTTTGAGGAACCTTTCGTGAGGTGTTGGAAGTCTGGGAGAAACATTTATGATATATCCATTTAAGCTTTAGTCCAACCCTTTGCCTTAAAAGTCAGAGATTTGTCTATGAAACCACTTTTATAAGCATTAGTTTAAGCTCTGTACAGACAGAAAGACATATACGAATGCAAGTGTTCAGGTTATGAAAGTGTTCGAGGCGTTTGAAATGAAAGATTGCTGTACCTCATCCGCCAAAACCTCCTTTTTAATGGTAGACTAGTGAGAATTGAACAACAGGTTCACACATTTCATCCTAGCTATGTTGAGACGTCTAAATGACATTCTGTACACACAAAGCAAGCCGATACAGAAGAATTGATTTCCTTCCTTATTGGCTCATCACATGCCCAAATCCAGTTATTAATGCACATTATTTCACATGCAAAATACCTAAAACACACCCAATAATTGGCATGTTTTGCAAATATGTGTAAATTTGACTTGTCTTTTTTTGGTTTTTGCCCTATTTGATTTATTTTGTAAACATGGCTTCGGAAAGATGTTTATGAATATGTGGGATGATTTGATTGTTGCACCTAATAATCCGCAGCCTGAAGGTCAAGATTTATTTAAATAAATGCTAAGAAACCGAAAGGCCACTGCACATGCTGTTACAGTACAGATGTACATAATAGTGCCGTGGTGTACACGAAAGATTTAATTCTCTACAATTATGAGTGATCTTTTTATTGCCACAAAAGGATAAGAAAATAAAGACTATTGAACACAGATGCGAGTCGGTCTTTATGGGAGCACCGGATACAAAAATCAATTTCTAAAAAATGAAGGTTCTGAAAGCATTTTTTTATATCTTTTATTGGTTGTTTGGTTGGTTTTGCAGCGATGCTTTGGAAGCACCTTTCAGTGAACAGAACCATTTTGTTTTTGTGAAGAACATGTTTTACACTATAAAGAACCTGAATGCTGAAGGTTCTTCATGAAACCATCAATGTCAATAAAGAACCTCTATTTTTAATTGTGTATGGATAGGAATTCTGAAAGTTTTGATGCAAACTGCAGACAGAACAGGAAATGAAGAATGATTGTGTAATATTCTAATACACAAAGATATGTAGGCTACATTTTGGAAATGTAAGCAGCTCTTCCAACCGCTAGATGGCGTAGTATCATCTCTAGTGCATATACTGCACTGTAACTGAGAACAAACTACACATCATGCAGCAATACACTTTTAAACAGTTGTGCGCCACATTATCAAACATTCTCATTATGCCTAGTTTATTTGATCAAATGGTGCTCGGCTATGACAAAATACATTTTTGTTTATAAATAGCCTACATTACATTGAGTTCAGTCAAACGAGTCGAAACAGAATAGAGCGAATTTTCATCGTCATTGCTCCAGTCTTCGGCGTCACATGATCTTTCAGAAATCATGATTTGATGCTCAAAAAACATTAATATTGTCAATGTTGAAAACAGTTATGCTGCTTAATATTTTTGTGGAAAGAGTAGAAAGATCAAAAAACAGCTTTTACTTGAAATAAAAATCTTTTGTAACATTAACTGTCAGTTTTGATCAATTTGATGCATCTTTGCAGAATACTCTTTAAAGGAGAACTCCGGCGCAAAATGAACCTTTGGTCTAATAAAACATTGGTACCTAGTCAACCGTTCTCTGAGACTTGTTTTCATGATAATCGAATGTAAAGAGTTTTATCTCTAAAAACTGTTTAGCATTTAACGCTAGTAATGGGGGCATTTAGTAAGTAAAAAGAAATCGCTAGTTTATACCACTAACAAGGCTCAAAATAGCCCCACACGAACACAGTAACATAATGAGAGTCTCTACGTGCAAAACGAAGCATTGAGAACTTTGTAAGTGTACAGACCGTTTAATAAGAAGATAAAGAAGACAGTCCACTTCGTGTATACAGACAGGGGCCATCTTTGGAAAACAGACTCGACTAATCAAACCACGAACGAGTTCTCCTTTAAAAAAAAAGAAGAAGAAATAGCCTACTGACCTTCACTCGACTAACTTTTGAATATATATATATATATATATATATATATTCAGACTGTAAGTAGCAGGAATCAAGGAAGAGGGATTAATACTGAAGTGTGCTTTCCCCCCATTGTTAAGTTGGTGACGTGTCTTTGGAGTTTTGTCCCAATAGTTTATTACCTATAACTTACACTAGCATTTTTATCACTAAATTATGTCATGTGGCTACAGTAAAATGACAAAAATACATTTCCCAAGGCATTGCATGTTTCGCAATGTTCTTGACGTCAAAAAGCAAATAAAACTGACAAGTCTTTTTATTATTCTTTGAAGACAAGAGCGATTCATATGATTCACAACAGGAAGGAAGAGGCCAGTTAATATTTATCTTCCTTAAAGGAAGACATCAAGTTACAATAGGTTACATAATAATGTAAAACACGTGCACTTTGTGCATTATGCTTGAGTGATGTGATGTCAATGTAATGAAAACCTGTAAGTGATCTGAATAATGGGACTTCAGATGTCTGAATGCAACATTCCACAGAGGACTCGCTTTCAAAAGTTGCTCGCCTCAAAGGGGAGACATATCTCTGGGACACTCTTATCTGTGAAGGTGCTGACCAGCGGTGTTGGTATAACCTCGTTCACCTGCTTCACACCGCCTTTAAAATGCAATGTTAAAAGAAAGGCGTGATTTTGATCACAGCATAAATCTAAAAGATTCGTAACATAAAGCAAAAGAGGATTCTCATCTCTGTCATTGGTTTGGCCTCCCTTTTAAAGTCAAAGATACAAGTAAAATGTGCAGTGAACTCAGTTTTGTGTTACAAGAAAATGTCAGCAATGCTTGGCTAAAGAAAAAAAAAACTTCAGCTATTTGCCATTAAGGCAACAGTTCTTCTTTACATTAAGATTAAGTTGAAGTAGCTTACTAAAATTCAAATAAAAAATAAAACTTAATAAAAACATAGATTAAAATAGACATTTGATATAGAAATATTAAAATTATATATAATCTAATTCAAAATATTAACAAAAAGTATAATACATCAAGGATAATAAAATAACACTAGTTTAAAGTCTGCATGTTTCGTTTCAATTATGAGTTGTTTGCAAGTTTTTTTAAATGATATTTTAGTATTTTTGCATATTTATTATTTAAATGTCTTAGTGGTTTTCATATAGAGAAATGCTATTCCACTTGTATACTGCTTTGTATTATTATTATTATTGTATTTCATATGATTAAATACAGCATATTTGCCGTTAACTGCCCTTACCATATGTCTCAATATGAGGAAATACCAAAAACTCCCAAACACATTTAGGGGAAAAATGTAATTGATGTTCAACAAATAAAAAAACAGGTATCGGTCCCTTTCTTCAAAAACACTTATTGTTAATGATATGATACTGATTATAACCTAGATGTGCTCCCTGGAGGTGTTCTGACATGCTCTGGCATTTGTGCTTATTTCTGTTACTTGTAACATTTCCATGGCTAAAGTCTTATTACACTGTATTCAGGACACACAATGCTACAAAAATATGTGAGCAGCATTTATGTAAAAGTTTGTAGTTTTGATAAGATTACGTTTATGCGTGGTTTGTGAAAAAAAAAAAAAATAATTAGTCACCGAAATAAGGTCATGAAACCCATACTGATTATTTCTTCACAAGACTTTTGAAAATTGTATCACGTAGCCTAAAGTTTTTTACTTCAAAACAATGTGAAAATCATCCCGCTCACTCATTCACATAAAACAATATATTGATAAAAAAATTGTAAGACATGTTTTGTGTAAGAACGCTGTATGCAAGGAGGCGTGAATCATCATGAATATTTATGTTTTTCACACCTGGGAAGACAAAGACCCTCCCATAATGGCCCTATCAGGTGGGACTGTGAGGAAACTAGAACAAAGAATGAGGAGAGTTTAACTTTTTTGATTGTTTGGATTTATTTACAACTAGGGCTGTCAAACGATTAATCGCATCCAAAATAAAAGTTTGTGTTTACATAATATATGTGTGTGTAGTGTGTATAATTATTTTGTGTATATATAAATACACACACATGCATGTATATATTTAAAAAATATTTGCATGTATATACTTTATATATATTTATACATAATATTATATATAAATATAAATATTTTATGTATTAATAACACATTTTTCTTATACATGCATATGTGTGTATTTATATATACAAAATAATTATACACACTACACACACATATATTATGTAAACACAAAATTTTATTTTGGATGCGATTAATCGTTTGATAGCCCTATTTACAACACAACATTATCCAAAGATACATAACGAAGGACAAAAAGGCACATTATTGAGCACAATGATCTAAACAGAGAGACTTTCTGCCATTCCTGAAACAGTTCCTGTTCAACATACCTGTCTTTTCCAAGGTGTTTGATTTTTGATTTTATCATTTTATCATGTAGAGAGACTCATGAACATGTTTGAGGGGGCTTTCACACTGGCAGTTTAGTTCGGAACGGGGCACGGTTCGCATGAAAAATCGCTAATGTGAACGCTGTCATGGGACCCGGGTGCGCACTGGGGTACCGAACCCGAGACTACCTGGAAGAGGTGGTCTGAGTTCGGTTGCTCCCGAACCGTGCCGCGGTTCGCGTGAATGTGAAAGCAACACGGACTCGGGTGCGCACTTGTTCAGGAAGTAAAGTAACCTGCGCATGCGTTTATAGCTTATTGTGATGTTTTTAGTTCAATAAAACGCTTGTAAGGGATGATAGTGTTGATGATTTACCTTGGATACGAGCGAGAGTGAGCCTGCGTGCAGGTTGGAAATCCACTGTCTCCTAAAAAGAGTCCGTTTGTAAGCAGCAGAAGTCCACCTTATGTGACACACGCACAGTAAACCTGTAGTGTTCACTCAACTGCGCATAATAGCAGCGAATTAATAAAAAAAAAAACAATATTGACCCACGTTCTGTTTTCTATCATGCGCCGTGCACGTTTGCGATGACGTCATATGCACGCAAACGCACCAGGGTTCGATAGAATCAAGTTGAGTGTGAAACCAGTCCAGACCAACGCTGCGGGGGACGCCGGGAACAAACGCGCTCGGGCTCGAACCGCAGCAAACGAGCCCAGTGTAAAAGCCCCCTAAGTCAGCAGGAATCATCAGTGGCATCAGGGGGCTGTTCCATAAATGAAGCTTAAAAAAGCGGGGATTAAACTCTAAAACCGGACTTGAATGAGCCTAACAAATAAATTGGGGCTAAAGTGGTTCCATAAAAGGTAATTGAAGTTCACGCAATCTCACTAATTTGATCCAGGTTTATCTAGTCTAGAGAATTGCGTGTGCACGCGTTTCTGAAGCAGCCCTAGCCTAGAGGTCGATCGTAGATCAAACCGATCCACCATCAAACAGCGTATATTTTGTGCTGTTTTATGCGTTTGTGACATGTTTTTTCCCCCCTCAGTGCAAAAATGACATTTTACAGTTATATTCTCCATCTGTAAATGTTAGAAAGTCGTGCAAATGTATCCATTTTGCTGCTAATCTTCATATTGAACGAGCGCTGCTGCGCGCATGCGCGCCAAATAGGAGCGCAATAATTCTGACTAAAATTAATGGAAAATTGGAAAATTAATATGCGATATTTTATAACACTAGAAATATCTTCTAATTATAATAATTTCTCTTTAGGATATTGGATAAGTTGCAGTGAACTTCTAGCTCATTACACTCATATATTTTATAGGT